CCGCGCCGTATCATCGTAGAATCATAAACCAAACTCGTTATCCATATTCCGTTCCGATCGTCATTGCCAATTGTTGTAGCACTTAGTCAAACGCCTTCTCAAATAACCATGTCTTTAGGCTCTTGCGGAATGACATAAGGGAGGGCGCCTGTCTGATGTCTACAGGGAGGGTGTTCCACAGCCGGGGGGCCACCACCGAGAAGGCCCTATCCCTCGTCCCCGCCAGACGTGCCTGTGAGGCAGGCGGGATCGAGAGAAGGGCCTCCCCAGACGATCTCAAGGTCCTCGTGGGCTCATAGGCCGAGATGCGGTCAGAAAGGTATTTTGGGCCGGAACCGTTTAGGGCTTTGTAGGCCAACACCAGCACCTTGAATTGGGCCCGGTAGCAGATCGGCAGCCAGTGGAGCTGGAACAACAAGGGCGTTGTATGCTCCCTGCGTCCCGCTCCTGTTAGTAACATGGCTGCCGCGCGCTGGACTAGCTGTAGCTTCCGGGCCGTCTTCAAGGGCAGCCCCACGTAGAGAGCGTTGCAGTAGTCAAGGCGGGATGTGACCAGAGCGTGTACTACCGTGGCCAAGTCAGACTTCCCGAGGTACGGGCGCAGCTGGCGCACGAGCCTGAGCTGTGCAAATGCTCCCCTGGTCACCGCTGAAACCTGGGGATCCAGGCTCAACGATGAATCCAGGATCACACCCAAGCTGCGAACCTGTGCCTTCAAGGGGAGTGCGACCCCATCCAGCACAGGCTGTAACCCTATACCCTGTTCGGCCTTGCGACTGACCAGGAGTACCTCTGTCTTGTCTGGATTTAATTTCAATTTGTTCGCCCTCATCCAGACTATTACAGCGGCCAGGCACCGGTTCAGGACCTCGACAGCCTCCTTAGTAGCAGGTGGGAAGGAGTGACAGAGTTGGACATCATCTGCGTACAGATGACACCGCACCCCGAAACTCCGGATGATCTCACCCAGCGGCTTCATGTAGATATTAAACAGCATGGGGGACAGTATAGAGCCCTGTGGAACCCCACAAGTCAAAGGCTGTGGTGTTGAACAGGTGTCCCCCAATAACACCTTCTGGGTGCGGCCCTCCAGAAATGACCGGAGCCACTGCAAAACAGTGCCTCCGAGGCCCATTTCCGCAAGGCGCCCCAGAAGGATACCGTGGTCGACGGTATCGAAGGCCGCTGAGAGGTCCAGGAGCACCAACAGGGACACACTCCCCCTGTCTAGCTCCCGGCGCAGATCATCCACTAAGGCGACCAAGACCATCTCGGTTCCATGTCCCGGTCTGAAACCAGACTGTGTGCCGAATCCAGATAATCCGTGTCTCTCAAGAATACCTGGAGTTGTGAGGCCACCACGCTTTCCATGACTTTGCCCAAAAAGGGGAGATTGGAAACAGGCCGAAAGTTGTCTAATTTAGTGGGGTCCAATGATGGTTTCTTCAACAGCGGTTTTATAAATAGCTTGTTTTAAGCTCGCTGGAATCTTGCCTTCCCGAAGGGAGGCATTAACCACCACCGTTACCCACTCAGCCAATCCCCCTCTGGCCTCCTTCAGAAGCCAGGATGGGCAGGGGTCTAGGATGGACGTGGTGGGCCTCATTCCTCCAAGTATCTTGTTCACATCCTCGGGCTTCACAAATTGAAAAGAATCCATCAAAATAGGACAAGCAGGTGCTCATGTCACATCCTCAGAGACTGCATTTAACATGGTGTCCAGACCAGAACGGATCAAAGCGACTTTGTCTGCAAAGAACCGAGCAAATGCTTCGCAGCGCGTGGCCGAATTGTCAGGGCTCCCGCCTGAGGTGGCGGGAGTTAAAAGACCTCTGACAATCCGGAACAACTCCGCCGGACGGTTCCTTGCAGACGCAATAGTAGCCGCAAAGAAAGTTTTCTTTGCGGCTTTTATTGCCGCGGCATATGCCCTTAGAAAGGACACAAACCGTGTTCGGTTTGACTCGCTCGGATCCGAACGCCACACGCTCTCTAGTTCCCTCTTCCTTCGCTTCATCACTGCCAGCTCCTCAGTGAACCAAGGAGCTGGTTTAGCTCGGCTACTTGAGAGGGGACGTTCCGGAGCGATCGTGTCAATTGCCCTGGCCATCTCCCCATTCCAGAGAGCGACCAAGGCCTCGACATGGCACCTACCGAGGTGGCGGGAAACTCCCCAAGAGCCGTCAGGAATCCATTCGGATCCATAAGCCTCCTGGGGCGGACCATCTTAATGGGTCCTCCACCTTTGCAGAGGTTAGGGGGCGCAGTGAGTCTAAATCTGATCAGGAAGTGGTCAGTCCATGGCAACGGAGAGATAGACAACTCCTCCACACCGCCACCCTGCTCCCATCCCTGGCAGAAAACCAAGTCCAATGTGTGTCCAGCACAGTGGGTGGGGCCAGATATTTGTTGGGACAGCCCCATGGTTGCCATGGCAGACATGAAGTCCTGAGCCGCTCCTGTGAGGGTCGCCTCGGCATGGATATTGAAGTCTCCCAGCACAAGAAGCCGTTGAGACTCCAATGCCAGGCTCGAGACTACCCCCGCTAGCTCAGGTAGGGAGACTGTAGTGCAGCGAGGTGGACGGTACACTAGCAGAATCCCTATTCTGTCCCGGTCACCCACCCTCAGGTGGACGCATTCAAAATTTGTGGTCTGGGATGGGACTCCTGGTCAGATGGATGGAATCTCTATAGACCACTGCGACCCCGCCTCCCCGTCCTCCGGACCTCAGTTGGTGCTGCACGGAGAAGCCTGGAGGACAAAGCTGGGTTAGATTCACGCCTCCAGCTTCATCCAACCAGGTCTCCGTGATGCACGCCAGATCTGCCCGCTCATCCAGGATTAGGTCCTGGATAAAGGTCGTTTTTCCGTTGACAGATCTGGCGTTCAACAGCACCACCTTCAGCCCGGAGGGCCCGCCAACCTGGTTACACCAATTTACCATAGGAGACCGGTTTGGGATTATTAATGTGGATAAGCGGTCCGAATTAGGCCGAATTTGAGGTCTCCTTTTCCCGCATCTCCCCCTCCCCACCACGACCTCTATGGGGGCCCCTCGGCTAGTGGAACACCTCCCCTCCTCCATGCCGCAGTCCAGGTCCAAGGTCTTAATTTCTGTTTGGTTAGTAGTTGTTTGGTTTGTTGTTTGTGATCCCCAGGTTGTGCCAGTCAGCTTTCATATGATATTGTTTCTAGCACCCACTTTTTGCTTGATGTTCAGGCAGTGCTTCTTGTAGGTAAGAGCATGGTCCAGAGTGACTCCCAGGTATTTGGGTGCGCTGCAATGCTCCAGTGGGATTCCTTCCCAGATGATCTTCAGAGCTCGGGATGCTTGTCTGTTCTTGAGATGAAAGGCACATGTCTGTGTTTTAGATGGGTTGGGGATCAGCTGGTTTTCCCTGTAATAGGCAGTATGAGCACCTAGAGCTTCGGAAAGCTTCTGTTCTACCATCTGAACAACAATGAAAAAAATACTGAAGTTCACACTATGAAATGCTGGAATGCCACTTTACCTTTGAGATGATCTTGACCAGGTTTATGTGATGCAGTGTAAAGTGGCATTCCAGCATTTCATAGTGTGAACTTCAGTATTTTTTCATTGTTATTATTTTTGATTGCTAAATAGTTTGAAAACATTGTCTCTTACAGCCATTTAAAATAAAGGGTCTTCTTGTGCATTGTATAGATTTCATTTCAGATGTTACAATGGTCTCTCCTCGGTTTTCTTGGTAAAAGGGGATTTGCTTTTCTGTGAGGCTGAGAGAGTGTTACTTGTCCAAAGTTACCCAATGGGTTTCTATGGCCGAGCAAGGATTCAAACCCTGGTCTATGGAGTTGTAGTCCAACATTCAAACTAGTACACCAGGTGCACTATACTAAATGTTTAGATTTTAGTAAATAAAGCTGCTACCAATATTTACTATAGTTGCAATATTAATGGTTATATATTAAGAGTAATTTTTTTGCCAAGCTTCACTACCAAACATCACTTGGGCTTTCTTCCATGTGCTTTGGTATGTGCCAATCATCTTGTGGGGGCAAAAGAGTGAGTGGTCTTCAGTTTCTCTTGAGTAACCAAAACTACCACTTCTTCCAAAATCACTGGGTTGTTGTAGGTTTTTTCAGGCTATATGGCCATGTTCTAGAGGCATTCTCTCCTGACGTTTCTCCTGCATCTATGGCAAGCATCCTTAGACGTAGTGAGGTCTGTTGGAACCAGAGAGAATGCCTCTAGAACCTGGCCATATAGCCTTAAAAAACCTACAACAACCCAAAGCTTTTCTGGCTTATACTAATATACTTGGAAGAGTGAGGTTTTCCTTTAACACTGCACTCAGGAGATTCACTTTCATTTTACTCTATACCTTGGGCTAATCAGAATAGATATGAAGAACATGAGTCTTTTCCAAAGCTAAGTGGATCAGGGAGTTGTTTCTGCTACTCTTTCATATAGGGCAGGTATTCTGTAGGTAAATGTTTTCATGTTTTGATCCAAAGTGGAGGTTTTTTCATATCAGGAGCGATTTGAGAAACTGCAGGTTGCCTCTGGTGTGAGAGAATTGGCTGTCTGCAAGGACGTTGCCCAGGGGACACCTTATCATCCTGTGGAAGGCTTCTTTCATGTTTCCACATGAGAAGCTGGAACTGACAGATGGGAGCTCACCCCGCTCCCAGGATTTGAACTACCAATCTTTTGGTTAGCAGTTCTGCCAGTGCAATAGTTTAACATATTGCACCACAGGAGCTCCTATAGCCCCTGTGGTGCTTGGTACCATTCCTCAAACTGTTTCCAGTTGTAGAGATGGAGACAATGTGGGGTACCTTGCCTCCTAAGAGGAGTCAGGAATGATATTTGACTTTGGGGTATGCATTGTGGCTTAGTTCAGTAGGTTGAAAATGCCTAATCATAATGTCACGATTTACAGTGTTTATAACTCTAAATAAGTTTTTCATAATTCATAATCACAACAATCTTTTTGGCTTTTTTTTTGTCCCAGGTGAAAATTACTCAAGAGCTGAAACTCCTTCAGACTGAACAGATGACAAAACTTCAAGCTAAACATCAAGCAGAATGCGACTTACTTGAAGATATGAGGTAAGGCTACAGCAAACACTCCCTGATTCCTGTAAAGAGCTTCCTTTTGGAAGAACACTTGGGTTACAAAACTCCGGGAACCGAGGATGGAATTTCCTCTTGGATTTCCTGCTTTCAGACTCTTAAAGCATTGACACAGCTGGAAAGTATAACTGGAACTAACACAATGCATGCTGGCCCACTTTGAAAGGGGGTTGGTAACAAATATGTGTCATGAACAATCCTGAAAGTGTCCATTCTTCTTGGCAGTATTCCTTTTCTCACTGAGGTAATGCTTTTCAGCTTCACCTTAAAAGTTTGTGGGGCTGGAAATTCTTCCAAATGGTATTGCAGTAACCTTCTTTTAAGTTCAAGCAAAAAAATGAATTGGGTTTATACAACCATTTTTTGAAAACAGGCTTGATTTTGTCGAAGGCTTTCATGGCCGGAATCACTGGGTTGTTGTAGGTTTTTTCAGGCTATATGGCCATGTTCTAGAGGCATTCTCTCCTGACGTTTCGCCTTCATCTATGGCAAACATCCTCAGAGGTAGTGAGGATGCTTGCCATAGATACAGGCAAAACGTCAGGAGAGAATGCCTCTAGAACAGTGTTTCTCAACCTGGGGGTCGGGACCCCTGAGCGGGTCGCGAAGGGGTGTCAGAGGGGTCGCCAACAACCACCAGAAAACACAGTATTTTCTGTTGGTCATGGGGGTTCTGTGTGGGAAGTTTGGTCCAATTCTATCATTGGTGGGGTTCAGAACGCTCTTTGATTGTAGGTGAATTATAAATCCCAGTATCCCAGTACTGACAACTCCCAAATGTCAACATCTATTTTCCTCAAACCCCATCAGTGTTCACATTTGGATATATTGAAGTATCCGTGCCAAGTTTGTTCCAGATCCATCATTGTTTGAGCCCACAGTGCTTTCTGGATGTAGGCGAACTACAACTCCCAAACTCAAGGTCAATGCCCACCAAACCCTTCCAGTATTTTCTGTTGATCATGGGAGTTCTCTGTGCCAACTTTGGTTCAATTCCATTGTTGGTGGGGTTCAGAATGCTCTTTGTTTACATGTTAACTACAAATCCCAGCAACTACAACTCCCAAATGACAAAATCAATCCCCCCGCCAACCCCACCAGTATTCAAATTTGGGCATACTGAGTATTTGTGCCAAATTTGCTCCAGTGAATGAAAATACATCCTGTAGATCATTATTTACATGGCGATTCATAATGTTAGGGTTATGGTTGGGGGTCACTACAACATGAGGAACTGTATTAAGGGGTCGCGGCATTAGGAAGGTTGAGAACCACTGCTCTAGAACATGGCCATGCAACCCGAAAAAACCTACAACAACCCAATCTTGATATTGTTTGATTCAGAAGTTCCCCTTCCTGTACTTGAAGTTGTTTGATGCAGTAGTTCCCCTTCCCACAAACCATTAAATTACCTGGCTTTATGAATATTAACCTTGTTGGCATTTATTTATTTCATCACTGAAAGATCCATGAGGAGTAATGCATATCTGAGGAGCATGTGCGGAAATAATCAATGGCACTCATTAGAGACAATTGATTTCTAGGATGGGCATGTTGCGAAATGTTTGAGTGTTATCAAAGTACCTGTTCCTGTCCTTCACCTTGAATTCTGTATGCACTACATTGCTAATCCAGCAAGATTACTTTGTTTTACATAACAGTACATGAAAAGAGGCAGTTCTGAGATGGAAGTTCATGTGAGATTAGAAAGTGTCAGGCTTGATAATGTGTTAATGCCTGTTTGTCAGAAAAGCTTATTGAACTATGTTCTGTCGTGCGCTGGGCCTGTAACAGCTGTACTTTTCTATAGGACGTATACTTTAAGCCCAGCAGGAAGCCAGGGGGCCTCAAAGATAGGTTCTCARAGATTTTTCTGAAGTGTCTTTGATGATGCAACAAAGTCTTTATTATGGAACAAACAACAAATTTTCAATGGTTCAAACAACACTTCAAGGCCTTCTTAGTCTAGTCCTCAAATCGACTGGCACCTGACTTTGATTAACTAAACTTTCTCTGTAGGAAAAACCCTTTTTAACCTCTCCCAGGCTGCTTTCTATCTATGCCTCATCAGTGTGGGACCTACTACCGATTCCAAATGCGTCTGGGTATCGAGTAGACCTACCAGCCGAGGCTTGAAGWTATTTCAGCTGAAACTCCAGGGTTGTTCCCTTTGATGCTGTGAAGCTGAGAGGCTGTGAGCTCTTAGCCAGAGCTTTTGGGACCTTTCTCCTGGAATTTCTGCTTCTGTATCCCCRGATGTTATTTTTCCCTGGATGGTTATTGAGAAAGGAAGCTTTTTCTACGGGATGAGCTGGTCTACGTCCTATAGCTTAGCTACCTTGTGTGAGACTGCCCAAAAATGGCTCCTTTCCCTGCCAGAGCCGAGAACAAGGGGCGGAACCAAAGCTTAATTATGATGGACAGGAGGCCTGTGCTATGACTGCAAAACAGATAACAGAAAGAAAATGAAGTTGGAGCTCCTGGTATAGCCATACCAGCACAAACTAAATGAAAATATACTTGTCTGCTTCATCCTTGCAATTTAACTAGTTCAGCATGGTTTTGTATGGGACAGATTGCTGTGTATTTGATGAAAAGATAGCAAGGTATATTATTCGCACAATAAATGCTAGTTAGGATAAGGTTGCTATGTGATGTCCTCTCCCGGAACTACTATATTTTAAAACAGTAGTTCTCAACCTTCCTAATGCCGTGACCCCTTAATACAGTTTCTCATGTTGTGGAGACCCCCGACCATAAAATTATTTTCGTTGCTACTTCATAACTGTTAGGAATCGTAATGTAAATATCTGATTTACAGGATGTATTTTCATTCACTTGACCAAATTTGGCACAAATACCCAATATATCCACATTTGAATATTGGTGGGATGGGGGGGGGATTGATTTTGTCATTTGGGAGTTGTTGTTGCTGGGATTTATAGTTCACCTACAATTAAAGAGCATTCTGAACTCCACCAGTGGTGGAATTGAACCAAACTTGGCACACAGAACTCCCACGACCAACAGAAAATACAGGAAGGGTTTGGTGAGCAGTGACATTGAGTTTTGGAGTTGTAGTTCACCTACATCCAGAGAGCACTGTGAACCTAAACAGTGATGGATCTGGACCAAACTTGGCACGAATACTCAAATATAACCAAATGTAAAAACTGGTGGAGTTTGGGGAAAGTGGACCTTGACATTTGGGGGTTGTAGTTGCTGGGATATATACTTCATCTACAATTAAAGAGCATTCTGAACTCCACCAGTGGTGGAATTGAACCAAACTTGGCACACATAACTCCCACGACCAATAGAAAATACAGGAAGGGTTTGGTGGACATTGACCTTGAGTTTGGGAGATGTAGTTCACCTACATCCAGAGAGCACTGTGAACCTAAACAGTGATGGATCTGGACCAAACTTGGCACGAATACTCAAATATAACCAAATGTAAAAACTGGTGGAGTTTGGGGAAAGTGGACCTTGACATTTGGGAGTTGTAGTTGCTGGGATTTATAGTTCACCTAAAATCAAAGAGCATTCTGAACCCCACCAATGACAGAATTGGTCCAAACTTCCTACACAGAACCCCCATGACCAACAGTAAATACTTTTTCTGATGGTCTTTGGCGACCCCTCTGACACCACCTCGCGACCTCCCCCCCAGGGGTCCCGACCCCCCGGTTGAGAAACGCTGTTTTAAAACAATGGTACTTGGTTATCATTCCCAGAAACTGTTGATCTTTTTTACTGATCACTTCAGTCTGCGTGGTCTGAAAAGTGGGAATAGCTGCTGGTATGCCACAAAGAATGTTGGCTTTAAGACTGTCCAGATTTATAAGGCTATGAGGCTCAGTTAAGATAGTTTTCTGACTCTGCGTTATTCATTTTCTGTCTCTGCATCATTAATGCACTATTAAGACATAAGACGTTTATAGCAAAAGTGTGTGGCCAATGTCTGGAAAAGAGATCAGTTTTGTCTTAAGCATTAGCCTCTAATAGCAGTAATCTGAGTGGGATAATTTCTTACAAATTGCAAGTATAACAGGAAAAGTAAACAAGGAAAATATTTTGAAAACATAACATTTTTAGTAGATCTGCTTTTGTCTAGGACAGCTATATGAGTTGCTTGGTTCTCCAACAGTTGTTAAGACTACATCACATAGAAGCCTTCCTGTAGCAAGCAGTGAGGGATGGTGAGGGCCACAGTTCAACATTTGGGCTGCACTTCCTGTCCCAATTTAGAATATGCATATTAAAAGGTAAAGGTTGTCCCCTGACATTAAGTCCAGTCGTCTCTGACTCTAGGGGTGGGGCTCACCTCCATTTCTAAGCCAAAGAGCCAGCGTTGTCCATAGACACCTCCAAGGTCATGTGGCCAGCATGACTGCATGGAGCACCGTTACCTTCCCGCGGGAGCGGTACCTATTGATCTACTCACATTTGCATGTTAGGTAGATCAATAGATTAGCAGGAGCTGGGGCTGACAGCGGAAACTCATGCCACTCCCGGATTCGAAGCTTCGACCTTTTGGTCAACAAGCTCAGCAACTCAGCGGTTTCACCCACTGTGCCACTGGGGGCTCAATGTGTATGTATATATATATATATATCTATATCTATATATATCTATATATATAAATCTGTTAGGTTGGTTCAACGGGACAGCAAAACTCACAAACCCCCCAACGAAACTTAACCAAAATTCCCATGCCCATAACACAACCCACAAGGTACAAACATATCTACTCAAAATGAAAAACAACACAACAACACACTCACAAAACGGCAAAACAACAAAACTCAAAAACCCCAACGAAACTTAACCAAAATTCCCATGCCCATAACACAACCCACAAGGTACAAACATATCTACTCAAAATGAAACAACACAACAACACACTCACAAAACGGCAAAACAACAAAACTCAAAAAAACCCCAACGAAACTTAACCAAAATTCCCATGCCCA